GATTTTCAGGACTGTTGCAGTTCGTTTTCTTACTTTCTATCTCTCTCTCCGTTTTTGTCTCCATCTCAGCCTCATTTGTTCTCATTTTCTCTATCTCAAGTAGCGAAGAGCGAGAGTAGTTGAAAAAATCAAAAATTCAGAATCCTCGTCTCTATTGTCAGAAATGATGATTATTGTACAGCGTATTTTCGGCATGTACACACGGCTCCTTGGCTGTTTGACTATTTGCCGATGTCATATATCATGCATAGCATTCGTATAAATGTGCAAAACAATCTGTCCGTGCTTTCGTGTCCCCTCTCGTGCCATTCTGTAAATAATAATAACAATATAAGAACGTAAGCGTTCACTTATCGTCAAGTCGAGTGAGTATGAAGGTTCTAGTCAGTCTTTGGATATGTTAGCTCGTTCTCGCTCATTCTCCGTTTCCACATTATGGACTCTTCTCGCTGCTGCCACTGCTTTCTGTCGCTCTATGTGCTTGTGTATATGTGCTATATTGAGAACATTCGGCAAGAATAACCTAAATGAGAGAAAAAAACCCCAGTTAAGAATGAAGGAGAAAAAATAAAATAAAATATCAACGACAACGACAACGACGACGGCGGCGACGACGACGACTACGACGACAAAAAGAAAACAATTTAAAAAATGTACGAGTACGTACTACATATACATGCAAGCAATCCCAAATCATACATATACGCACGTTGGATCAACAGCAAGAGACCATACAACACACACTGTCACGTCATGTATGCAGGGCGCGCGCGAATGAAACGAATGTAAATATGTGCAGACATAGACACTAGAAAATAGAGAGATTCATTCCGAATTATAGCTGTGCCATATTCGTATCTTAATAACCATCCTAATAATTTTGAGAGATTATTGAGATCCGATCATAATACCGATAAATCTTAATAACGCTATCAACTTTTTATCAGGTTATTAACTATATTCAAATAATAACGTTATCGGATGAATCTTAATAAGATCGTTTTGAAGTTATTAAGATCGAATCCTGATAATTTATCAACATTCAATCTTAATAATCATCCGGTTTGACACTGCCCTTGGCCCATCCTGGAGATCCACTTCCAGAATTGGGAGCAGTTCTGGTCGATTCTGAGGATCCACCAAAACCCACTTCCAGAACTTGATGATTATTAAGATTGAATGTTGATAAATTATCAGGATTCGATCTTGATAACTTCCCAACGATATTATTAAGATTCATCCGATAACGTTATTATTTGAATATAGTTAATAACCTGATAAAAAGTTGATAGCGTTATTAAGATTCCATCATAATAACGATATCGAACGATATTTTTAGTTTATTACGATATCTTGATAAAAAAAAATCGTGAGCACAGCTATATTCCGAATAAATGCTATGATATAGCGAACTCGGTGCGAGTGTGTATATCTCTCTTCTTCTTTTTTTCTCACTCTCCCTCTCTCTCTCCCTCTTTCTCTCTCGCTGTGTGTATTCCTTCGCTGCTTGCTTTTGTTCATTGTGATTATACACTCTCTGTTACACACATTTTATATCGTATTATAGCATTATTCGAATAGATGTGAGTAGATTGAAGCCGTCCGCTGCTGTTCATACCCAATTGAAATGAAATGATTATTCGATATTTGGGTGACTTGGTTGTTTTTTTTTATATTCCTTTTCTTTCATTCTTTCTTGCTTTTTCTCTTCTACGTCTATTCTGTGTGTGTGTTGTGTTGATTCTCTGCTGTTTCGATCGCTATAGCTGTTTGCTGCCGTTCTGTTACCGTGGTTGTTCACATTGTGGCTGTTGTTGGTGCTATAAATGTTCTTGTAGTCGCCTTTTTGCTATTTATGTGTGTGATTCAATTCAAGTCAACGCCTGCGGGGATAATGGAATATTTGGCTTTACTAGGGTTTTCATCTATATGTATACATATAGATGTGCGTTGTGCTATTAATTAATATGAATTTCATATGTAAGCATAATAATATTTTGTCGGCAATCGACAACGACGACGACAACGATGATGACGGCAGCAGCGACAACTGTCGTCTTCGTCGTCGTCGTCGTCGTTGCTGTCGTTTGCTGCGTCTCGTCAATCGCACGCGCACAGTAATTTCATTCCGAATCGATTCGCTCAAATTGCACTTACAAATAAATTATTATATCGAAATATGTTCAGCCTTATTCTATTCACTGTAACCAGTGAGCTATCACTCACTCTTTGCCACTTAATCATCCTTTCCCCCTCCTCTCGTCTGCTCCTCTGTCTCTTCCTCTCTTTCATCGTCATAATCGACTAGATCCTATTTAATAAATTTTTGTTATCCTTCGAAAGCTTGGTGAAAATTGCACAACAACAGCAATTATCATTCATCACATTGGCTGTCGACCATGTGACAATTCATGATTTTGCTCGGCGCAACTGACTAATGTTACTGGCTACAATCGTTTCTCTTGAGCGCGGGTCCGCTCTGTCTCTCCGTCTCTTATCTCTTCGTTACTTTTAACTAAAATAATGGTAAGGAGTCAGTTTCAAGTACCGTGGAGAATTCCAACATTCCATGCTAACTGAACTTGGATTATCAGTTGCAAAGCACTTTCAAAACTGTGATCTTCATTCATCATTAACCGACCATTCGTTGCGAGTTGAAATCGTACTTCGTTATGGAATAAGTTGAGAGCGAGCGAGAGCGAGAGAGAAAGAGAGGAACTGAGAAAAAAGACCCAACAAATGGCAAAGAAACGTTGAAAAATGTCATTGGATGGACCTTGTCAATAAGAAAGAGAGAAGCTGATGTTGCGAAGTAACAACGTGACGTCAATTACAGATGTCAATCAGTGCGAGAATACAATCAGGCAGATTCAACCCAGCCGAGACACTCGAGAGGGGAAAACAATGATCCAGGTCAAGCACCGAAGTGTCTGTGTTGTTTTCATCATAATAATTTCATGCAAACCAATATGCTCATTTGGACAGACTCAACTGAATTTTGAAGGATCGCCAAATGTAGGACAACAGCAGATTTCCATGAGATTTGCAACACACACACATGCAGATGTGGAGGTACAAATTGGTCGACTGGCGCCATCTATTATTACCGATTTCGGGGATATGATTTTGTGGATTAAAACCCAAAAATATTCCCAAAAATTCGATTAAAAATACAAAGCAGTTGGCAAGTGAATTGAGAATGTCGATATTAGTACGTTTCATAAATGATCAAACTGAACTGATTTCAGGTGCTCGATTTGGTGTCAATACACATTTGAAACACGAACACCGCCAACGAATTGTGTCATTGAAAAGCGGCAATGTTTCAGATGTTCCTTGCATTCGCAAACACAAAATCAATAGGTGTAATATGTTTTGGTGGAACAATATTTACACAGAGGTGCTTCAGATCATATAAATTTTGTTCAATGTTATTGTCTGAATTTATGTGCTGAAGTATTAGCGTCGATAATAGTTTACATTGAATTTTCTGCAAATCAGTCCGATTCGATCGATAATAATCGAAAAAATCGTTCTTTTCTGCTATCTATTTGTTGTCGTTGCCGTCGTCTTCATCGTCTGTGAGTCACCCGAACGAATGCAGCGGTTAAAATATCACACTCTTTAAATCCAATTCTCGACCAATTGGAAACGAGTCAAACGGATTTTTTCGTTTTGTTTTATTGGCCATGTTTTGACGATCCACCCTATTGCTTGATCGTCACACGTATTCATATATCTATGGATACATGCAGTGACGACGGTAAGCAAACTGTAACGCCGCTCTGATGTTATTACTGCTGTTCGCTGTTGCTTTGCGAATGTTTATATCTGTGTGTTGTTGTTTTCGGTTTTCAGCTTATTACTAAATGGCTTGAATGTGTTTCACTCTTTGAATCGTTATCGTTGCTTTTTGCTCGCACTTTTCGTTTTGTTCGAGTGACGTTCGTATGATTAACAATATATGTGCATGTATATCGTACGTACGCTGCCTGCCTGCCTGCCTGCCTGCCTGCCTGCCTGCCTGCCTGCCTGCCTGCCTTGCCTGCCTGCTGCTGCTGCTGCTTATATATCGAGAGTATCTTATGTCTATTGCTTGCGACTGTTGATGTGCGCACACGCTTTCCACCAAACATTTTTCTTGCGTACGAGAGTGTAAGAGTGCGACTAACAGCAACACCATCGTCGTATCCATTCCATATATATTCACACGGCTTCTGTTATGTGTGTGTATGTGTGTGTGTATGCGTGCGTATATGATTTCGAAAATGTAAGTACGGCATGTATCTGCTGCTGTGATATAGTGTTTCCTCTTAAGATATATACAATAACGTCAAACGTTCGGCTAGGGTAAATGCTGCTACACGAGGCCTGCATAATAAGAAAACACACATCGAATTTAGTTCAGACGTAAAAAGAATGGAAACATTTATTTGGAAAACAAACAAATTCGATGAAAATTAAATGATATTCAGTTGATATTATTGTTGTTGTTTGCATTTTGGATGGTTAAATTTGTTATGAATTCGGATCCCAAAAGAGTTTGATTGGTTGAATTGCAAATTTTCGATGTAACTCGGTACTTTTTCCATTTCACATGATGGAACATTGTTTTCGAATGGTATGCATTTACTATGGATTCGAACAGATTTTCTGTGCCATTTGTTTGTGTGTATCTCGAAGCGATGCACATCGCACTTCGCACCTCGTACTCGATCGGCGCTCCAGAGAGAGAGGGAGAGAGAGAGAGAGAGAGAGAGCGCGCGCTTAGCGTATTCAAACCGAACCGAACCGAACGGACGGACCGAGCGACGTTCAAGCGTCAAATGTTTCACACAGAGTGCGAGCGGTTGAATACATATTTTTCCCTCGTACATAGTTTGCCTTACATATTGTCGATACACAAATATTTAAACCGACATAATGCGACAACAGGCCGATTTCCGACGAACTCGAAACGTACTATGCGATACGAGGTATGTGTTGCTGCTGCTGCTTTTGTTGCCATTGGTGTTGTTGTTGGTTGCTGCCGTCTCCGCTGCTACTGCTGTTAGTGTTTTGTATACACCGTTGGTTTTGCTTGCTTGCTGCTCTCTTCTGTGTGCCTCTTTTTTGATAATTTGAACATTTTATTTCTGCTCTACACCTCGTAGTTTCAGTTCATTTTTGACATCGAACAGATAAACGTTTTCGATATTGTGGGTGCCCGTTGTCGAACAATTTGTTATTTTATACACATTTTTCTGCTGTCATATCGTGTATGCTGACTGGACGTATATGGTGTGTGTATTTGCGATATAATTTTTGTGAACTGACATTGTAACATTGTGGTGAATTATTTAATTTTTGAACAATTTTTTTTTCTACTTCAAACAATTATATATTTTTTTCTTCGTTTCGAGTTGTTTCAAACAAATTTTTTGACGTTAATGTGTTTTGGTCGATTTTTAAATTGTTTTCCGCCAATCGATTGATTACAATACATACGAATCACTTATCACATTTTTTTTCCCTGTATTTCTCTCCCGTACTCGCAATCAAAACAGAGAATATGAAAATTTGAAGAGAGAAAAAAAAACGGTGAAATTATTTCAGAACAATGTACATTAGATACAGTCTAATAAAACGACAAACAAATATTTGCATTCAGACGATTTTGGTGTGTTCAAATCAATGTTTTCGCTTCAATGTTTGAATTTGGAAGATTTATACCACACAAACATACGGTAGAGAAGTGACGGTTGAGTAGTTAATTGAAAATTAGAGAAGCAAAACGAAGAACGAGAGAGAAGAAGAAAAAAATACAGCAAGGAAAACAAAGTACATGCGAAACAAATGATTTTACAAGGGATGAATAACATGTGAGAGTGAAGTATAAACGAGTTGTTCCTGGTGATAATTTACAAAAAACATAAAAAAAAACACATCAACGAACGTAGAAAAATTTAATTCAAGAGATAGAAAGAAAGAAGAAACAAGAAGTTTTGTATAATAAAATTCAATCGTTCATCAATAGATTCTGAATAATAAAATACGAAGACAAGTAAAAAACATATGAGCAGAAAACAGTTTAGTCTATCCGCTTGGTAACTTTTTATGAATGAGGAAAAAAATAAGAGTTAATTAATAACATGAAAAAATGAAAACAAAAAGAAACACACACACACACATATATAACTTATGAACTATGAAGAACTTTCGCAAAGCGCGCTATTTGTGAACGAAACATATATAAATTTGTTCGGTGTTGAAAGAAAAACAGAGTGAGAACAAGAGAAAACGAGAAAGAAAGAAAGAAAAAAACATAAAAAATTACCCGCTGCTTATTGTGTTTGTTTTGTAAACGAAATATTTTTTATACGAACAACAATTGTCAATACTGATATATCTTGCGAAGGAACTATCTACCAGACACAGACAAAAGGCAAATCTTTATTGCAAATAATAACTTCAATCAGTTGGTGACACTTTTTTGCGGCTTTTAACGGATAATCTAACAATGTGTTTTGGTAAGTGTCAATTTTTACTATGCAAAAATCCAAATGTCTATTATATGCAAGGAACAATTTCGTTTTTTGAAAATTCCGAAAAGTGTCACGATGCGAAAAACAAAGGACAAATAAATCGGTAAATTCACGTGGAATGAGCTGTCATCATAGCATTTGTTTATGTGTTTTTACGATTTATGCAATTGATTGTGTTAAGAAAATACGCAAATGTGCTGAATTTCTCGTCAATTTTGCTGGAAAAATCTCGCATGAGCGAGAGGAGAGAAAAAATAAAACCGTACACTCGATCCTTCGAGTAATCGTCGTCAATTTGATTATTTGTATTGCTCCGAATACATGTACATATGGCTTTCACTAAACGCCCAAACGTTCCATGCTGATTTTCTCGATTCTCATTCTCTCCATTCACATTTTCCATTATTCCTTTCTCACTCTCAATCGCTGTCACATTCGTACTATCTAGAGATAGATCTCGCTCGCTCTCTTTCACACTTTGTGACAATATCTTTGCGATATGTACGGGGGACCATTCGCTCTAGCATACGATTTCGATATCTAACAGTTACAGGAGTAAGGAGAGCAGTACACGACATATATTGCAATGACAAAAATACCAACAACAACAACAACAGCAACAATACAACACACGACCATAACAAGAGCATCGTAGTAGTAGCAGTAGTAGCAACAGCAGTAACAACAGTAGGAACGGCGGTATGAGCGCCAGCATAGACCGAAATATGCACAAAATTCATGTATCTCCTCTCCATTCTTACCATTTCAATTGATGGGAGAGAAGCAGTCAAAGCGCGTAAATAAATATACAAACAGTGAGTAAATTGACTAATGGAAACTAAAAAGAGCCAGAAGTAGTGGCAACATAGCAATGAGCCATGCTACACCATACCATACCATGCCATACCATTTGACAATACGAAAGCAATACATTCGGAACAAATAAATTTGACCTCTCTTTACAAAGATACCATATCGTCGATACTTACTCTGTTACATGGCACTCGTGTACTCTTTAGTACATGTGTGACTTTTTTGTTGTTGCCATTGCTGTTGCTGTTGCTGTTGCTGCTGCTGCTGCTGCTGCTGTTGTATACTAAATCGAGACTGTTCGCCTTTTTAATTTTAGTGTGTTTGTACTGATATATGCGTGTCTATACCTTTAATGCTCCTGATCATGCGGCTCTATTATTTATACATGTATTGGTGTTTTATCCTCGCCATGGATCCACTTAGTGTTGAAACTACATATAGTTTGCATACCCATAATGTACACACATAAATCTAAGGCAGTGCGGTTGAAAGAGGCAATATTAGGAATTCGTTGCTGTTGCTTTTTATACAATCATTTTTTTTTCTTCTTTCTTTCTCTCTCTACGTTACTCAAAATCGGTTGTGTGTATGTATGTATGAAGAGAGTGGCGAAAGGAAGAAGTAGAAAAAAAACGACGAGCGGACCTATACTTCTATTTCGAAAAGGGGTGAACATTTTTAATACAGTGGTATTGGTTCCATTATGTATTTATGTGTGCAAAACTCTTTTTTTTCAACGTTTCGTCGGTCTGATAAAGAAAAATGAAGAGTGGAAAAAACCCGAGTGCGATGGGAGCGAGGAAAAGAGAGACGGCGCGCGACAGAGCGATAAAGAGAGAGAGAGTGAATAAGGACCCGAGAAAAAATCCCTGCACTTCGACAAGCCGCTAACACACGTAGACCGTGCGTACGATTTTTGTTCGTATGTATATGGAAAACAACAAATGCCGTGTGAAACATGGGCTTATTCATTTTTTTCATCCTTTTGTTAGCAAAGAAAAAAAAGCGAGTCGAAAATAAACCGAAAAAATATATATATAATTCACGTACAAAGAGAGATGAAGAGTGTGTAACGAAGACTCTTTTGGGTACATGCAACAATGAGAAAAATACGAAACCAGCAAATTATTGTGTTGGTTATTTTGTTGTTGCTGTTGTTGTTTTCGTCGTCTCGTCGTCGTTGTCGTCGTCGTATCTTCGCGTCAAATGCAAGAGAAAGAGAAGAACCCAATCAGAGTGAATAAAATGGCAAAAGCAGCAACCTTCCATCTTTTCGCCAACCACTTTTCCATTCTTGTCGTGGCGAGAGAATCTCCTTCATACGCATCACTTTTTTTGTTTTGTACATATATACAGCACAGAAATATCTTTGATTCGGCTCCTTTTGCACATTACTCCTGCACCGAATTCGTTCAGCCATTCAACTCCTCTTATCGCGATTTCTTTCCCATTCATTCAGTGAACAAGAAGCGATCCGAATTATTTCTTAGTCGACTTTTGTCCCACCGAGAACAATTACTGTATACATCTTGACCTTCGGTTGACGAAATATACATTTTCAACCAAAAGAAGAAGAAGAAGAAGCCAAAAAAATGTAGCTGAGTTTCGTTTGAGTTTTTTTCTCTCTCTCATTCTTATCCTCTTCCTTTCAATGGAATAGCACGTGGACTGTCATTGATCCCGAACTGCTGAATTTGTCATACTCTTTCCATTCTTGTCGTTGTTGTTGATTTTGGGTTCGACTCTTGAATTGGACCCAAAAAATGTTCGGAATGGCATATAATTTAACAAAAGGTAACGTTAAAAAAAGGAATTCATCAAATATTTCGGATGATGATAATTATGATAATTTCATGGTTAGAATGAGGCATGACAAAAGGAATCTCTTAAAGTGAGGCATCATCATTTTTTTCTAAAACTTTTTCTTCTTGTATCCGTTTCCGCGAACACTTCTCGATTCATAGCCGATTCTCAATGGGTAATACCTGGCGATACCTGGAAGTGTTGTTGTCCGAGTTCGTTTTTCATTCGGTATTTAATACGTAAATCCGATGGATTGAATGTTGATATAAACACCAAAACACACACAGAGGAAACGCATGCAAGGATGTTTTGCTTTTAAATATGCCGCCTCGCACAATTATAATTCCATCCGAATGCATTGCACCGTGGCATCCCCACAGCTACTCTAAGCCTCAACAGCAACAATAATGCGTCACATTTCAAAAAATTTGTTATTAAAAATTGAGTGGAAAAACAAATGAAAGAAAATAAAAGAGAGGACAGAACGACGTACAGATGAAGGAACGAAAAAAACAACAACAAAAAACACACACACACACCAGCCAGCCAGCCATAGTCACAATGTGCACAGGCAGAACAACTGCTTTTCTTTTGCTCGCAATATGTTGTTGCGACGTGTGCTGTTTGGTCTTTGGTTTGATATGTATGCTGTTGTTGGTGTTTTTTGTGCGTTTTTTTTATCCGTTGAAAACATCGCGCTGAACTGCATCATTCAGTCATTGTGCGCGGCGCGTTCGTTTTAAACCACTGGATTGAAGATATGCCAGCAATTTATGTGTATAGTCGCGATACATTTGGATATCATACAATACACAACACACACTGTACAGTGTACACACAGTCAAACATTGCATTGTATTTTCGGAGCGAACAAAGTTAATAATGAATATGAAGAAGAAAAAAAAATACAGCACACAATCATTGATTGAAGGCAATATCATATTTTTGCAATGAAAACAGAGAAAAATATGCCAATCGGAGAGTATAAAACAGTTGAATCTGTTGAAGAAAAAAAAAGAGAGAGAGAAAGATTGGGAGTGAGATAGAAAGAGAGAGGAAGAGAAAAAAAGGGCCTACAATTCGAGCACCACATGAACACAACCGAACAGAAACTAACAAGAGAGAGAAAAAAACACAGTACGCAAAAGCAATAACAGCAATAGCGAACCAAACACATCGAGCACAGCTTCACATTAAACGCTGAACGATAAATTAAAACTGCATTTTATTGAATATATGCGATGTTTTGAATATTATTTAAATGTGTAAAACATCGAGTGGCATTTTCCATTGATTGGATTTTCACATTGGATGGCGCTCTCGATTGGCATGCTCAACGATCGCTATCTCGCGATGTGATTCCACTAAAAAACCAATAACAGCAGCACCAATAACAACAACGAAAAACCAAAATAAAAAATATTACAGCAAAATATTATCGTATTATCGGCTATGAGTGTAGTTGAACATTTTTCAAAATGACATTAAAAAAAGGCACCTTTTTTATGATACCGTATATTTTTCCGCCGCCGTTGTCGTCGCCGCCACCACCACCACCGCCGCTGTTCCAGCCATCAATATACACCACAGGCCATAAGTTTGGATACCCCTATGAATGAATTTGGCCCAAAATTTTTAAATTTCAAACCGCTTGTCCAATTTCAACATGCTATACGTCGTTGGAAAGGTCTCGGAGAGTACGTATCATTTTTGGTATTAAACATCAAAATCGGCCAGCTTTTGGCCAAGATATGGCTGATTGAAGATTTCGGCCAAAAATTACAAACGGCCATATCGTGGCCAATCGCCGGCCGATTTTGATGTTTAATACCAAAAATCACATCTACTTTTCAAGACCTTTCCAATGGCGTATGTAACTTTTTAATCCGATGGCCCGTTTAAGACTTCGATTTTGGCTCCCACAGCTCAAAGGCCAAAAGATGGCCATAGGCCGGCCAAATGTTATCTTCCAAAACTTCCATTCGGTCAGAATTTCGATATATTTTCATATCCAATACTAAATTTCAAGTGAAAATGTTCAAAAAACGTAGAAACAAACGTTTCATAGGGGTATCCAAACTTATGGCCTGTGGTGTATAAAACATTGTCGTGTATTTGTTAACGGAAAAAACGGTGCCTATCTCTCCATTGCATGTCACGCGCAGCTGTATGTATATATATATGTGTGTGTGTGTGTGTGTTCGATCGTTCGCTCCGTGGCTCTGTATACTTTGTGATTACTATTGAAGTAGTGCTTGATGTTATTGAAAAGAAAGAACTTGATTTGCGTTTATTGTGCGACTAAGTAACATTTCTACGATTTTATATTTCATTTTATTTTTACCTCATATAGTTCCTCGGTCCATTGC